AAAGATATCTTCTCGTTATCTTTTAGTCTTATGTGCTATCTGGGTTTAAACTTCCGATTTCAATCGGAGGTCCTTTCTTGAACGGTAGCCGCACGACATACCGTCCGTCAGACTCGCGAGAATGCGTTAAGCGAAAATGCTCTTCACACTACTTTTCTTGCGGTGTGAGATGATTTTGTAGTGAGAGTTCCTTGATCTCCCAAAACCGATGAATTTCCTCTTCGAGCGAGGGAGAGCCGACGACATGATGAGTTGAAACTCTGTCTCGGAGCATAAGAAGTTAACGATTTCATAATGAGCGCGGTGGTCGACAGCGACGGAACGTGAGAATCGCGAGGAAAAATGAATATGTGTGTCGCGTGTTGAAAAGTCCCCGCGTTTATCCAGCCGACGGCGGAAACGGAAATCGGCATACGAATGCGTTTTACGCGCAAGGTTTGCGCTAAACTTTTCGAGATGAATGTCATTTCCGAGCCCTGATCGAGGAGAGCTTGAACGACAGCGGTGCGACCCGACGGACTGCGAACTGTTACCCAGGCCGTCGCTAGGAGGACGGGTGAGCGCTTTCGAGTTACGGTTGAGGCGTTGAGCGAATTTACCTCAGACGTCACATCCGACGCTTGAGGCGACGAGCAACTTGACGGTGCAATTTTCAAAGCACTTGAGCTAGAATCCGAGTCAACGTGTAGCATCGAATGATGCTTCTTGTGACAAACCCGACAATATTTACTTTTGCATTCATGTGCGGAATGCCTTGCGCTCAAACAATTGAAACAATGTTTTTGTTGCTTGACGATATCTCGACGTTGACTCGCATTCTTGCTCACGAAAGTAGGGCATACATTAAGAAAGTGTCGCTCTGTACATAATGGGCACTGCGATTGTGCGTTAGCGGATGCGGTTGCGACATGAATTCGCGAGGCTGCGATTGGTTTTACACCGGTTTTAACGACTGACTCTGGAGCGGATGCCATTAACGCGCGAGTGCGAGACTTAATAAAGTCGCTTAAAGTCTCGTAAGACGGCGGGGCATCTGTATTGCTTATGCTTATTTCCCACGCTTTTCGCGTTAACGGATCTAATTTTTGCACAAGGATATGAACAAAGTGTCGAGCTGGACACAGCGAGCACTGCGATTGTGCATTAGCGGATGCGGTTGCGGAATGAACTCGCGAGGCTGCGATTGGTTTTACACCGGTTTTAACGGCTGATCCTGGAGCGGATGCCATTAACGCGCGAGTGCAAGACTTAATAAAGTCGCTTAAAGTCTCGTAAGACGGCGGGACATCTGTATTGCTTATGCTTATTTTCCACGCTTTTTGCGTTAACGGATCTAATTTTTGCACAAGGATATGAACGACAATATCTTCCCAGAGTTCCTCCGGTTTTCGATCAGAGTCGCTGTCGACCGATTTCCATCATAAGAGGATTTCGGCACCGAATGTTCGAGAATATAGGTGTTTGTCACACTTTTTCTTTCTAAGAAGAGAATGCGATCACGCACCTTTTTCTTTATTATGATCACGCGGTCACGTGCCGATCGGCTGATCGCGACGATGTTTATTCTCGCTCGGGTTTTGATCGCGGCTCTTACCGTTCAGATTTGTCGGTTGAATTTACAGTTTAAATTTATCGATTAAATTCAACTTTTCAATTTTGAACATAATTGTTTTTAAGAAAAAGTATGTAATTATTTATAATGTATTT